TTATCAATCTTAACTCAAATATCTCTATACATATTGAAGTCTATCACAATAAGATATGATTTTACTATACCAACACAAACCGGTCGGTTCTAGAACCATCTAGAACCTCAATATTTTATTCATTAACAAACAAACAAATCATTTTCTAGTATAATTACATTTAGTTCATAACATTTTCTTGTCTTAACAAAATAAGTCGAAGTATTACAATTTAATACTTAAACAACAAAATTTATTGTATTTACTATGATTAAAAATTTATAATATTTTTTTACCTACCTTTAATATCTAAAATATGACACACAATTTCTGAGAATTTTAATATATATTAATGTTTTGTATAATTTATTAAAATAATATTTGTGTATACTAAGAACTATTTTAGAATGTTATTTGTTTATTAAATCTAGTAATTTTAAAAAAAATATAATAAATATATTTCGTCGTTCCGCAAATTTATCCAATCACACAAATATTTTGATTCCGCAGTTTATTTGATTCTGCATAAAAGTATTACTTTCCGTCAATACGTAATCACGCAAATGTTACCAATCAGAGTAATGTAATATAATAACTTAACCTAGAGAGTTGCCACTTTGAGCAACTCTCCTTCTTCCCCATTTATGAAAATCATTTTGATATTAGTGACAATTTAAAGTTCTTTCCTTTTTTTTTTAGCATTTGAATAAAGTTCTACGAGCTATTTATGTTATCAAGTTCTTTCATCTCTTTTATTAAGTTTTTATAGAGCATAAATAAGCAACGTTATAGAGTCTTTATAGTTAAACCAATTACATAGAACATTGCAACTTCATAGTTAAACCGATTTATCTATGCGGAAAACTAGATCATGAGCTTAAAAAGCAATGGGCTTCCATCCAATTGTCATGCATGTTTACCATTTACGAAAGTTTCAAGTTAAAGTTAAGGCAGCAGAATTGGTAAAGAGTAGACCATAAACTCCATAAGTATAACACTAATAAACGTGCCTACCTAACCATAGGCCCAACGCTGCTTTTTTTCTTCTCTTTAGTACTCTTTTCATATCAAACATAAGAAATTAAGAATGGTTTTAAATTAATCTTTTTCAAATTATGGAATTAGAGCCTGATAGTAGCTTATAAACAAGCGACACGTGGACATCATTGGATTGAGGAAGA